AATTTTAAGTACATTTTTAGTAATTAAAAGCATGCCTAATTAATTGAAATAATAAAACTTGCAATTTAATAACAATTTATTAAAAGTTTAACAAAAATTAAATTTTAAGGCCAAATGATCTGACCCCCCTCACAAATTTGGTTTATTGGTTTCATTCTGTATATTTCGTTTTAATTGTTCTTAATTTCACTGTAATGGTTTAATTAAATTTTAGTAATCAGAAATAATGTCTAGTCACTTGACTTAATAAACTTTAACAATTTAATAATTTATTCCAATTATTTTACAGTAGGGTGGAATAGAATGTTTGTTTTATTTTTTTGTATTTTTTTCAGAAATGACATTGTCTTTTTAAAATGTTCTGGTTTTATCATCAAAAACAGTGGGAGTTAAATGAAGGCATTAACACTTTAATATTTTAAAATGTAAGAAAATAAACTTTTTTTTTTGTCAAACAAAATGCTGCACATCACAGTTTCACTGTTAAAATCAAAACATGAAAGAAAAATCACAATATTTCTTAAAGTTTTAATACGTTTATTTTTATTACTGATAAGTACATTCTGCTGCTTCATATTTACACACTAGTGCATATCATGATCTGATTGAGTGCGCAGCCCTCCTTTTGATGTATTCATATAACATTTGCCTGACATTCTGGCTTATACAGTAGATTGCGTTTTCTGACTGGGTTGTGTGATTTCTGCATGGCTGCGCTGATGTGAGTGAACGCGTGCTGACGCTGGATGAGGTTTGTACTGAAGTGCTCGTGTTGAATCTCAGGCTGAAGCGTGTGAACTCAGAGAAGCTCCTGCAGGATTATGGGAAGCGCGCTCGTAAACTGCAGGGTCAGAGACTGAGTCTGGAGGACTTCGCCCAGTTCCTCGAGCTGCCCGCGTCAGGCGAGCTCAGACACATGTTCGCTCTCTTTGACGAGGTAAATTAATATCCATCCACACAGTTCTGAGCAGGAGTTTTAATGGTTCATGATCAGATGTGAATGTGCGATTGAATCAGATGTCTGTTTGCTCCGTCGTTTCACTGATTAGCGGTTGCTTGTGCTCAATGCCATGAAATATCTCCGTCTCGTCTCTCTCGGAGCAGAATGAAGACCACTCGATGGACGTCCGGGAGTTTGTGGTCGCCTTCTCTGTGGTGTGTCGGCCTGCAAAAACACTGGACACCATCAGGCTGGCCTTCCAGGTCAGATGAGTAGATTATGCCGGGTTTTCTGGAGCGATTGAATGACTGCACTTGCGGTGATGATGCTCAGCTCTGAGAGTCTGCTGGTTTATGTGATGTCTTCAGATGTTTGAGGCGGAGGAGGACGGTGCGATCACAGAGAACGAGCTGATGTGCATCTTGAGGACGGCGCTGGGCGTCGGAGAGCTCCGAGTCAGCCGTCTGTTCAGAGCCATCGATGAAGAGGACTCGGGTAAAATCACCTTCGGTAAGAGATGCGTTCATACTCACAACTGACCTGCTGTCTTTGTTCTTCTCCTGGATTTCTTGAGAATGAGTCATTATGACGTCGCCTAGGATTGTGTAGATGATGAAACGTTTGTATTTAACGCAATGACCCTGCACGATTAATTGAAACGTTATGGCTTAGTATGCTTATTAAATCACTGTGATTAAATTAAGTAAATGCATGCACTGAATGTTTCAGTGAAGGGTTCATTTATATATGCGCGTAATACAGGATTCATTGTTTTTAGTGAGTCACTTTAACATACATTTCAGGAAATTATTGTGCCAACCATCTTATCGACAACAAACGAGAAGCTTTAAGCGCTCCCTGCAGTTTTCCATCAAAATACATATTTGCTGGTTTATTGTTTGAAATTGAGGAAAGTAAGATTAATGTTAGGTGAATATTAGCCATGAATGTTACTATTGCAATTTTACAGTTCTAATGTAATATAAAAGGATTATTATGTAACTTTTCCTCAATACCCTGTTTTTGTGTTTTACAGTGGAATATTGCAATAATAACATTTCTTACTTTTTAGTCATTTTGTATTAATATTGAAAGTTTATTGTAATGTTTATGTAGTATTATTATTATTATTTTATCTCCATTTTGAGATATAATCACTTTGGCCAAAATTGTACAACCATACAAACAAGCACAGCTATCTGGATTTTTTATTTATTCATTGCATTTTAAATTGCAATCATACATTTATCAGGACAAAATGCATAGATTTTTTTTTCTCCCCCAATTCATGCTACCCTGCTGTAACTTAACATTCATGCCTCATCGTGCTATCATTTGATGGAAAGCACAAGCATTTGTAAACGCAGCCTATTCTGTGTCTTGACATAGTTCCCACAAGTTGCTCTTAACAGAAGCATCTGAATCATGCGTCGTGTAGAAGTGTGCAGTTATTTAGCCGCTGTGTTTCAGATGTTGTTTTCCTGCTCTGACTCTTGTTCCTCTGGCGCCTCCTGCTGGCAGAGCGCTTCAGGGAGTTTGTGGATCAGCATCCAGACTTCGCCGAGCAGTACCTCTACTCAGACAACACAGGCTTCGGCAGCAGCTCCCCGTCCCACGCCGCCAACGGCTTTTGCGCCGACTTCAGCCCGAGAGAGCAGAAGAAACTCGACTGAGCC